TCATTCTGGGCCTCAGTTTCTTGAACTATAAAATAATGAATATGGACTAATTGCTATCGTGGGTCCCTTTTAGCAGGGATGAGATGATGTCTAAAGCTTCTGCCAGCTCTGGAATTTTGGAAAATATTTTGGCTTTTTCTTGTTGTTGTTCCCCCAACTTTTTTACTCTGCTATTATTTTAGATTTTTCTTTTCCTTTCTTTTTTTTTTAAATGATTTTTCTTTGTTAAAGATTTTATTTATTCATTTGACAGAGAGAGAGAGCACAAGCAGGGGGAGCAGCAGAGGCAGAGCGAGAAGCAGGCTCCCCGCTTAGCAGGGAACCCGATGTGGGGCTCAATCCCAGGACCCTGGGATCATGACCCGAGCCCAAGGCAGATGCCCAACTGACTGAGCCACCCCGGTGCCCCCTTTTTATTTTCCCTACAACACTTCTTCTAGTCTGAACTTTTTATAAAGAAGTCAGAGTAGATAAATAGCTAATCAGAGTTACTAATATGACATGGAAAGATGGCAGATATCAAAAGGTATTGTTGGTCATGAAAATTTATAATTGATTTAATTCATAAGAAATTAACACTTTTTATAGGAAACTTGACAGCTTTTATTTTGTAGGATGGCACTAATTTAACTGAAGTGAAACCCATTTCATATTTATGTGAAACCTTAGGATTAATAGTGCTTTCAAATACATTAATATAATTTTTCCCTGTTGAGTGGAATAGTTTTAATTAAACTTTACTAACTCTTTTGGTTTAATCCCTGCAGCCAACCTATAAAACAATAGAGGTTTTAAATCAAACTGTAAAAATCCGTAAAGCTCAAAGTGAAAGTGATAGCCACAGTGGTAGGGAAAACAATAAAGAAATTTATGAAATATGTCTAGTAAACCAGCAATGCTTTATACTATATCTATATATCTATTATATATATAATTATGCACACAAAATAAACACACACACAATCTTTAAAACTAATCATCAGGGGAGAGGTAATTTGGTTTATCAAAAGTATTCTAGGGGTACCTGGGTGGCTTAGTCAGTTAAGAGTCTTCCTTCGGTTCAGGTCATGATCCCAGAGTCCTGGGATCGAGCTCCGCATCGGGCTCCCTGCTCAGCAGGGAGTCTGCCTCTCCCTCTCCCCTTCCCCACTGCCTGTGCTCTCTGTCACTCTCGCTCTCAAATAAAAAAATAAAATCTTTTACAAAAAGTATTTTAAATATTTTAAAGGCATCAGAGTTTCTATAGCAACCATTTTTTTTTCTCTCTAAAGGCTCATTGGTATGTCAAATGTAAATGAGACGACCTGCAGATTTTTAATTTAATCTAAAATAAAATGACCAGAGCAATATTATTTTATTAATTTCACTTGTAATAAAATTACACTGTAGTGTTTGATGCTGAACTTCATAAGGGATATGAGAATGTCTATTTAGAAGAAAGTTAGGTACTCTACTACTCCCTTACCCTGCCTGCTTGCCTCCCTGCTCCTGGTAAAACCTAAATAGATAAATAAGTGAAACCAAACCAAAACAAAACCATTGTATCATTCTTTAGGCAATGCTTCATGAACTTTTCTCACGCAAGTACTCCAAATGGAAGAGAAGATTGAACACACACCCTTAGGGATCTATTGCAAGTGTGAAATTTCTTTGAAGCCATCTGTTTTATTTTTAAAAATTCATGTGGATTTTGAATTGTTTCATAATATATATGTTTTAATGTGAAAATGATGTTTTCCCCCAATATCTTTAACAGAGCTCTAAGAAGATAGGCTAAGTTTTACCATAGTTTTGCATATTCAAAGATACACACAATTTTAGAAGCTTAGCTAAAGAATAAACATGATTATAAAATAAATTTTTCCACAGATCACACATATTTCCTACCTTCAGTTTTCCTTTCACTTTAAGGCATTTTTTTGTCAGTTAGAGGCCTATAACTCTACTACTCAACTGAAATAAATTTAATTGCTATACCAGAAGAAAAGATCTCTATGTTATCAAAATTGATACTTGGGTTCCAAAAATCCAAAAACATAGAAAAAAGCTATGAATAGTCATACAATTGTTCTCTAAGTATAAGTTATAGGGGCACCTGGGTCGCTCAGTCGGTTAAGCACCTGACTCTTGATTTCAGCTCATGTCATGATCTCAGGGTCATGAGATCAAGCCTTGTGTCAAGCTCCACGCTCAGCGTGGAATCGGCTTGAGATTCTCTCTCCCTCTGCCCCTTCCCCCGCTCTCTCTTTCACTCTCTCTCTCTCTCAAATAAATGAATAAATCTCAAAAAAATATGAACTTCTATAATTCAATCATTAACTTAATTAGTTTCATCTTATCAATATCCCTCTAGTTTGAAAAGAAAGGTACTTTTTGTATTTTTGAAGGTGAACATTTCACATCAAGACAGTCCATCATCAAATAAAATTGATTATATAGTATTGATCTATATGTATTTTTGCTGGTTGACTATATACATGCTATGTGCAGTACTAGGGGTAACAGAATGTGATTCAAACAAGACTGAACTGTATATTACGCTAATAAGACAAGTTAGACTCAAATATCAAGGAAAAGTATTTAACTATAAATAAGAGGTAACTGGCTTGACCTTTCACCCTGTTTCATTTTTTTCCCCTGTAGACTAAATTCCAGAGTATTTCTTCCTGGGGCTCTAGTAGCAAAACATTTTTAAAAAATGGATTCTGAACAGGGATTTTACAAGTGATAGTCAGTTGTCTTACAGGACAGGGCTGGTGAGATTTCTAGGCATGGGATGCAGCATGAAATCATACAGAGACAGGACTATCAGAAAGGAATAAAACAGCTCAAGAGAATATATGTCTCGGCACACTGAAATGAGACCTAGGAGGAAATGAAAGAGGGATGCAAGCAGGTGGAATGCGCTTAAGAATTTGAGTTGAGACTGAATTTCATAGGGAAAGAAAAAGAACTAGACAAAATAACTTGAGAGTGGGTATTGCTGTGGCCCTAACAGTGAGACAGTAAGATGATTTCTGGCAACAGTCTTTTGAAAACACTGGCAAGAAGAATACAGAAAAGCAGAAATAATCAAAATGTAACTGAGAGATTTTGCTCTTGACATAGATAGGGAGAAAGAAGTTGGTGATAGTGTAAAATAAAAATATGAAAGTATTTACCAAAAGCCCAGACACAGGAAACAAATAGAACTGGATATAATACATAGCTAGCTGAGATTATAGGAACCATAGGCACCCTTTTGATTATCCCCTTCTAACAAGACAATAGCAGCAACTACAATATTCATAGTAGTATATCAATATTACGACTACTACTACTATACAGATAGTGGTATAGCAACAGCTACATACTTACTATGTGCCAAGCCTTTTATTGAATGCTTTAAACATGTCAACTCATGTGATCTTGTTACTATCATTCCCATTTTACAGATGAGGAAAAAAAAACTTGGAAGTTTAAATTACTAGCTCAAGGTTATAGAACCAAGAAGTTATATAGCTAGGAATAGAACTTTATAATACCTAACTCAGAAGGCTGTCCACTATAAGCTGACTTCATCAATAGCAATAGTGGCTAAGAGTGTGTATGAAATTATATAGACATAGATATATAATATGGAAATATAGATAAGCTAGTATTTAGACTTAAAATTCAAAGCTGATGTAAGCTTCATTCTACATTTCATTACAGTTGTTCCAGATTATTTTGACTAAAAATGTTTATCGGATATATTCATGTAAAGTATCCTCAATGTAAGAATTGAAAATTTAAAAATTAGGAATTAAAAATCATCATAAAATTGACAGATCATTTTATTTAAACATATTCTTGATAGAACTCTCAAAATCTTTCTGAAATTGAATCTACGTATTAAACAAATAAAACTTAGAAAAAAATTCCGCTAAAGGGCAATTAAAAAGTAGTGATAGCACTGAAATGATCTAATAATTGTCTTTATTTGTGACATTTCTCATGTTTCCAATTACAAATTTTCCATTTCTCTATAACTCTAAGGACTTTCAGTAAGGACTCAAAAGCATATACCTTTTCCAAGTTTCTTACAAGCCTTATAAACCTGTTAGTGTTCATTAAAGGGGAGAAACTGCATGTCTATAAAACCCAGAATACTGTTTGTATAATAATGTACAGTGGTGAGGGCACCTGGGTGGCTCAGTTGGTTAAGCTTCTGACTCTTGGTTTCATCTCAGGTCATGATCTTAGCCCTGCGTTGGGCTCTGAACTCAGTGTGGAGTCTGCTTAAGACTCTCTCTCTCTCTCCCTCTCCCTCTGCCCCTCTCCCCCAAATAAATAAATAAAATCTTTAAAAAAAATAATATTGTTCAATGGTCATCTCCGCTGGTCTGGTATTATCAATCAAACCCTCAATGTATTTCTTTAATTTAATCCAGTGTGTCTCATTTTGTGGTTCCAGGACCAGAATAACAATAGGAGACGGAGTATGTCTCCACAGTACTATTATTTTCTTTATTAAAAAAAAAAAAACCTTTAAGATATGATGTAAAATTATACTCACTATAAGTATAGCAGCAGCTCTCTGGCAATTCCTTTTCTACAGAACTTCTGTATCTTGGCTCTTCGATTTAACAACACACATTTGTGACTACAGTCATATTTACTAACATGTAATTAATGTGGAATAATAGAACATTTAGAAAATTTGTAAGCAAGAACTCACAATCATTTTGATATCATCAAAAGCCCATGGTATACTTCCCTTGTAAACAATATATATTTAAGTATTTATGAAATGAATGAATGAACATACTATCAGATCAGAGATGTGAAAGCGTCAATAACCTAGCAATGTTAAAAGATAAAGTAAGTAAAAAATAGGTCATTAAATGTGCTACACTATCAAATATAAGCTAATGGAAACGATCTTCCTGCTTTTCAAATATCAGTAAACAGAAAAATTAATGTTTATTTAATCTTACCACTTAAAATATAATAGTCTCAAATAGTTACTAATCAATTACCTTTGCTTGCACTTTCTACATGTTCCAGCTCTTCAGGAAATTTCAGGATATCCCGGTATTTTTCCTCACAAATTTCAGCAATAAAATGCAAGAGGGTTGTTTTTTGATCTGCTGACTTAGTATCTCTGATCTGGAATGAAATAACAGTATTTTTAGTATATTTTGGGTAATGTAAATATAGACTTTATTCTTAAACAAGTGAAATAAATGGATGAACTCAATTTATTATAACTAAATTTTTTTTTAAAGATTTTATTTATTTATTTATTTGAGAGAGAGAATGAGACAGAGAGAGAGAGCATGAGAGGGGGCAGGATCAGAGGGAGAAGCAGACTCCCCGCCGAGCAGGGAGCCCAATGCGGGACTGGATCCCGGGACTCCAGGATCATGACCCGAGCCGAAGGCAGCCGCCCAACCGAGCCACCCAGGCGCCCTATAACTAAATTTTTTAAAAAAGTTAGGGGTGCCTCGGTGGCTCAGCTGGTTAAGTGTCTGACTCTTGGTTTTGGCTCAGGTCATGGTCTCAGAATCATGAGATGGAGCCCCGCGATAGGCTCTGTGCTGTGTGGAGTCCACCTGAGATTCTCTCCCTTTCCCTCTGCCCCTCCCTCTGCTCATGCTCTCTCCCTTGCTCTCTAAAATAAATAACAGATAAAATCTTTAACAAAAAAATTTTTTTTCAAGTTAGGGGTAGCTTTCTAATGGGGTCTAGCAACAATGCTCTAGATTTTAAAAGAGACACCATTATTTTAAAATGCAAAAGTTGGGTCTAAGGATCCGGCGTCGGATCCGCGGACGGTTTACTGAGCCCGTTAGTACCCCTGCCGAGACTCACGTTGCCGTCGTGTCCCGCTACCTGCACCCCCCCCAACACGTCTCTGTTCGTAAGGAACGTGGCCGACGACACCAGGTCCGAAGATTTACGAAGAGAATTTGGTCGTTATGGTCCTATAGTTGATGTGTATGTTCTACTTGATTTCTACACACGCTGTCCAAGAGGATTTGCTTATGTTCAATTTGAGGATGTCCGTGATGCCAAAGATGCTTTACATAATTTGGACAGAAAATGGATTTGTGGACGCCAAATTGAAATACAGTTTGCACAGGGGGATCGGAAGACTCCAAATCAAATGAAAGCCAAGGAAGGGAGGAATGTATACAGCTCTTCACGCTATGATGATTATGACAGATACAGACGTTCTAGAAGCCGGAGTTATGAAAGAAGATCAAGAAGCCGGTCCTTTGATTACAACTATAGAAGATCTTATAGTCCTAGAAACAGTAGACCGGCTGGAAGACCACGGCGTAGCAGAAACCATTCCGACAATGATAGATTCAAACACCGAAATCGATCTTTTTCAAGATCTAAATCCAATTCAAGATCACGGTCCAAGTCCCAGCCCAAGAAAGAAATGAAGGCTAAATCACGTTCTAGGTCTGCATCTCACACCAAAACTAGAGGCACCTCTAAAACAGATTCCAAAACACATTATAAGTCTGGCTCAAGATATGAAAAGGAATCAAGGAAAAAAGAACCACCTAGATCCAAATCTCAGTCAAGATCACAATCTAGGTCTAGGTCAAAATCTAGATCAAGGTCTTGGACTAGTCCTAAGTCCAGTGGCCACTGATAGTATAAACCTTGATATTTTTAGTCATGTATCATTCATTTACTCATAGTTTGGTTTACTTAAATTATCAGGAATACAATATTGCAATGATGCTTAAAAAACACTTGCCAGTTTTCCCTGTACCAGGCAAATGGTTACAATTAAAATGATATGCTGTTGAGAAGCCACTCTTAAGAGTCCAGTTTGTTTAATGTTATGGGCAGCTACCAATTTGTGGTGTCTCTGTATATTTTTGTAAAGATTCTCATTTTTTATGCTTGAAGTATTGGTGAAAAGATGTTGGTTGACCATAATTTGCAACATTGTCTTATTAAAAATAAACTTTCATATCCATATTTGGTAGAACTGTTAACTAGAAATGTAGCTTGCTAATAAGATAGAATGATACAAAAGTGAAGTTGTAGCCACAGTACAACACTGACTGATCAGACACATTTAGGTTCAGGGTGGACCTTTTTGTCTTGTTAAGATGTCTAGGCCCGTGATAATAGTTAATTTATAACAGAGCGTGGAATAGTTCTTTTGTTAAAAGACTATTCCCCACTATCTTGGGGAATGATGCCAACTGGGTTAAGTAGGATTTGGGGAAAGATTGAGTTTTTGACTGAAACATGGAGCCTTCACTGCTTTTTTCTGGTTTCTTTGAAGATTTGGAACATATAAACATCAGAAGAACTCACCTTAAAATTTGAGCAGGTCAATGATGGCAGAAATAATTTTAAGGGGAAAAAAAATGCTCTCATGTAGTTACTCTCAACTTTAAGGAGCAAAGTTGGTCATATTGCTTAGTTTTCTTACTGCTGTTAAAAAGCAGCAAGTAAACTGTTTCAAGTAGATTTTGTTTATGCATATGCATAGTTTTGTAAAAGAACTGAATTTTGATGCTTGTAACACTCAGTCTGTGCATTTGTATCAAAATTTGCCTACCACTTTATGAAGGAGGCTTGTTCTTCACACCTCAGCTTATTTCATGTGAGGCAAGTTGAAAGAGAGCACTCCCATTCTAGGTGATTCTGTGGTGCCATGAAATTTAAAATATTTTGGAAAAAGATTAATTAAGAGTCACATCTCTGAGTTTGATTATCAATGTACAGTACCTGGCAGTACCTGACTAAAAAAGAAAACAAGACCCTAACCATTTATAATTCCTAGCATTTCTCTGAGAGATCGTTTGGGGGGAGCAATAAAAGGGAAACGTCCAATCTCATTTCAGAATAAAAGCTAGCATCTTTAAAATTTTTAGATTGCTTGCTTGCAGGTATAAGTAAGAAATATTGTGGGGAAACGATTCCTTTTATAGGATTGCTTTTTTTCAATTTTGGTTTTAGTAGGCCTTGCCTGTAGAACAAAAGATGGTTTTTAAATACTGTTTGTGGAATGTGTTTAAAGGATTGATTCTAGAACCTTTGTATATTTGATAGTATTTCTAACTTTCATTTCTTTACTGTTTGCAGTTAATATTCATGTTCTGCTATGCAATCATTTATATGCACGTTTCTTTAATTTTTTAGATTTTCCGGGATGTATAGTTTAAACAACAAAAAGTCTATTTAAAACTGTAGCAGTAGTTTGCAGTTCTAGCAAAGAGGAAAGTTGTGGGGTTAAACTTTGTATTTTCTTTCTTATAGAAGCTTCTAAAAAGGTACTTTTATATGTTCTTTTTAACAAATATTGTGTACAACCTTTAAAACATCAATGTTTGGATCAAAACAAGACCCAGCTTATTTTCTGCTTGCTGTAAATTAAGCAAACATGCTATAATAAAAACAAAATGAAGGAAATAATGAAAAAAAATTTAAAAAAATAAAATGCAAAAGATGACCAAAACCAGCAAAAGTTTAAATTTTAATATATAAATTTAAAAATATCTAATTATGGCAAAATAAACTATCCTCTGAGAAAAGAGCATGAATTTAAGTATTGATAATTACAGTCAAAGTTAATGTGTCCTTATGTTATCAGCATTTGTTCTTTGCTTTATCACCAAAATATATTCTTGGAAACTATATTTGCTTGTGAGGTTATATTTATTTGTAGCCATTATTGATGCAAATTAATGTAAAAAAATACATTTTACCCTCCTTGTATGGGCCATCAATAAGAAAAGCTGAAAAGTTCTTATGCTGATTTACAAACAGAATCTGACCACACAATTGTGATGACAATTTTTTTTCTGCTTATGTATGGTATTTCCTTTTCAGAGATACTTTTAGAAAAGAGATGCTATAGTTAGAATGATAAAAATCTTTAAAAGTATAGGACAAAAAAAAATCTATGATGAAAATCTGTTTTCTTTAATATAACATTCATATTAGACTAAGCTGCAAAAGAAATTAAGGATTTACCTACAAACTAAGGATAAATAAGGAATAAAGTACCAAGTTTTCTCATTGTATTAGGTGTTTTAATTCTATAATCCTTAGACGATGGGTTTGCCCATTGATATGCATACTGATTTGGGGTTTTTAGCTTTAAGGATTACTCTGTTTAGAATAAATTCCTCCCAGACAGGTTTATGAAAAGGCTTTGGAAGGTACTTAGGTAATTAGCAGAATATTTAATACCTACTGTTTTAGTGGCAAAGGAAAAAAAAATCACATTTAATCAATCAGACCCATACTGAATCTGTTTTGTACTATACCTTTTTAACAATTATTTATGTCCCCAGGATATGGAGAACTTAAAGGAAATACAGTCTTAAGGCTCAATACAAACAACCACAGGAGGCATGATGTTGATGGTTCAGGTGGTCACAAGGTCACAGTGATTTCTTTTAGAATTTCTGGGATTACTTTATCCCACGTAGGTGAAATATTTAAAATTTTGCATTATCTTGCTGATCCGCCTAATACTTTCAAGTACTACAAGGTTAAAATTTTGGGTGCCTGGGTGGCTCAGTCGTTAAGCTTCTGCCTTTGGCTCAGGTCATGATCCCAGAGTCCTGGGATCGAGCCCCATATCGGGCTCCCTGCTCAGGGGGAAGCCTGCTTCTCCCTCTCCCACTCCCCCTGCTTGTGTTCCCTCTTTTGCTGTCTCTCTCTCTGTCAAAAAATAAATAAAAAAATCTTTAAAAAAAAAAAAAAGAGGTTATCCATGAATGAAGAAGAATGACTAGAATGAAGGAAGATGGTGCAGTTGAGGGTCAGGTTGTTTTGTTTGTTCAGTAAGAGAGTTGGAGAGAAATCTTGAAATAACATTGTAACACCCCTTCCCATCTTCCTATCCTCTCCCAACACTTTGAGATTGTAGTATGAGAGAATAAAATCCCGGCATTTGAGAGAGTCCTGAGGAAATCCTACTGCATGGGAGACGATGATTGCAAATGACATATCTGATAAAGGGTTAGTATGTAAAATATATAAAAAACTAGGGATGTCTGGGTGGCTCAGTTGTTAAGCATCTGCCTTTGGCTCAGGTCATGATCCCAGGGTCCTGGGATCGAGTCCCACATCGGGCTCCCTCCTCGGCGGGAAGCCTGCTCTCCCTCTCCCACTCCCGC